CCGCACTGAATAGAAGGCCGCCCACTTGTTTATTGTATAGACCCAAGACTTTACACAATAGGGGGCTGTATAAGGTAGGTATAAAGCTTACCTCTAGTACAAGATGACGTTTAGAATATTCTTCGTGAATGGATTTTGTTTTTGTAAAGAAAGATATTTTTGAAATAGACATCTCTCTGAATTTTACCGTTACAATATTCGAGGATAAGCCTTAATCCCACTTATGACATCAGTTGTTCTGCTGGAGAGTCCGATCGCCAATGTCGGTAAGCATTGGACTTGCATTACCGACCAAAGCGTACGGTTTAGAATCTTGCTTAGTTAGTATCGGAACCGATAACGTCATAGTAGCTGTAAACTTTTCGTCACAGGATTCTTCTTTTTGTAAGTGAATTCGTGTAGATCCATTGATAATGGTAAGATTATGACATGCATTGTGTCATGTGATTGGATTTAACGAATATAATGCAATGATATTAAAAAAAAAAAATTACGGAGTCATGCCATGTCGAAAATTTGAACCCCTATCAACCAGGTACAAAAGCAGAAACAATACCGCGTAGCTATCACTCCACTTTTTACATATAACATATAAGTTATATTTAAATTACTACTTCACTTGTGTTTGGTAGTGGAAGGTCACGTGGGCAATAAACCCCGCCCATTAAAAAGAGATGCAGGGACCCCTTTGCGTCATTTTTCTCTGTCGCACTGAGGGAACGGGTCTATGTTGCAGTGCTGAGTCGAGGCATTATCATATAATACAAATAGACTAAGCATTGCTATTCATGCGCGTTCCCCCATGCGACAGAAAAAAATCACAAAAAATATGAGGGTGAGTTTTTGCCCTACGGAATTTCAAATTCTGATTATTTTAAGTGTTCTGTATGGTTAATATGTGTAATACGCCTTTCTGTGTGTATAAGTGTTCGTGTATTACATATATATGTTGTGTGTTGCATATGTATTGTGGATGATTGAAGACAAGGTGTCTTAAGAGTTTCTTAATCCGCTATTGTTGGTATATTCTCCTTTCAGTATTGGCAACCAAACCCTGCTACATTCTGCTGATAGGTTTTCCAAATAGACTAAGCGTTGCTATTCCCGCACGTTCCCCCATGCGACAGAAAAAACTGACTGAAAAAGATATGAGGGTGAGTTTTTGTCCTACGGAATTTCAAATTCTGATTATTTTAAGTGTTCTGTATGGTTAATATGTGTAATAAGCCTTTCTGTGTGTATAAGTGTTCGTGTATTACATATATATGTTGTGTGTTGCATATGTATTGTGTATGGTTACTGTTCATATAAATGGTTAATTTGACTTTTATAATACTAAAAAAATAAAGTTCGTAATTAAGTTATGTTTTTTATTGTTTTGAGTTCTTACATACTCTAAGTTTTATGATTTTATGAAAGCAGAGCTTAATTATTAATAGATATGTTTTTATCGTTCTTTTTGGTGTGAAACAGCAAAAAAATAGTCATTTCGGTAACACCCTATAAATAGGACTAAATACATTTTTAAATTTTATATTTTTTTAGAAACTAACCTAAAATGATAGTATTTTACTACAAGTCATCTTAGGTGGTAGCTAAAGTTTAAAACTGTTTTTCTTATGTTGCAATAGTTATTTTTTTTTAAATGTACAATATATTTGACTTTATTTTATTCTAAATTGCTCTAATGAAATTAATGGTAGTGTTTTTTCAACTTGTTAGCTTATAGTTTATTTATAATTAACAACTATAATGTTTTTTCTGGTTTTAGTTAAAAAAATTATGTTAAAAAAATTATTTTGCAGGCGTTACCGAAATGACTCAACGTTTCCGAAATGATAACTTTTATACTATTTTAAAGAAAACGCACATTTATAACTATGTATTTATTGCCATAAAAATGAAAAAAGAACAACAAAACAAGGAACGCAAACGTAAATGGGGAATTAGATAACTATTGTGTGTTAGTTTTATTTTCTAAAACATGTAAGGCAAAGAAATATTTCACTATTTTTGTTAAAGTGATGTTTAACAATGCATTTAAGGTGATAAGTTCTGCTACAGTCGAAACATTTGCTTCCTTAATTTTGGTTGTTTAAACTAAAAGTACAATCGTAGCAAAGACCTTTTGTCTTTTGGATAACTGCATGGTTACGTTTTTTCTTTCGTATTGGGAATTATTAATGAATTTGCGATGCATTTTGTACGAAAGTATTTTTGAAGTCTCGCCCCTTAAACGATATTTATTTATTATGCTTCCAGACACAATCGATAACGTATTCTTAGCTTTATGATTTTTTAGCATTTTGGCGTTTTCTTCTAATTGATCTTTAATAACTTCCCCAAAAACTAACTTTCTTTTGATTTTATCTGGAACTTCGATATCAGCTATCAATTTACTCGCCCTTGTTTCAGGAGATTCTTTTTCTTTTTTTTTGTTTTAAAAATTGTTTAAATTTAGATTTCTCCCTTTGTAACCTTTTGCGATCTCTTGCTAACTGTTTGGTTAGGTCTCTAATTTTTAATTGCTTTTTAATTTTCTATAACATGAAGATTTTTCTTTTTTCACTATTTGTCGGCCAACATTTTTTTGCCTTGAAGGTGTGTTTTTCTTGTTGACAACATCCATAACATCTAAATTTTCCGCAAGATCCTCATGAAAAAGGTCGTCCTGATTTTCAATTGTAACTTCATCTTCACTTGTTGCGGGTGAATTATCTCTAGCAAATCTTTCGGTTTCACCTTTCATTTTTTTCTTCTCTCTATATCTTTTGCTGTTTTTACTTCATTCCTTTCTTTTTATTCTTTGCTGTCGTGGTGTCAAGTCTTTTATAAACTTAACTTGTCCTTCTTCTTTCTTTTTTTTGTATCGCTCTCGATCTTTTCTTCTTTTTTCTTCAAGTTGCTGCTCTGTTAATTTCATTCTATGTTTCTGAACTCTTTTTCTTACTTCTTCTTTCATCTTTTCGTTACATTTCCTCTTTTTAATTTTTATTTTCGTTGGTGTTCTATTATTCTGCAAGTACTTTTTTTTTATTTTTGCTTGCGCTGTTTTATCATTATTATTGTCGTGGATATTATTTACTTTTTTTTTCAGTTCAAGTTTCAATGTTTTTTTCGGCTCGACATTACTTTTATTCTGTTCGAACTTGAAATTTACTTGAATTTTCGGCATGGAAATGCTAGTTTGGGCCGAAGAATATCCATTTGAAGTTGAAGGCTTAGTCATCCTATCTTCTTCAAAAAGTCGGACTTTTTAGGATTTAAAAAAGTTTTACTTTTATTTTTTTTTCTTCTTTATTTTTTAAATTTAATTCGTAGGAATTTTTTCTATCTTGTGTTAATTTTTCTTTTAAACATTTTAATTTTTCGTTGTCCATCTATAAATAAAAAGAAACTAATCATTTCTGTAACAAAATATCATTTCGGTAACACAATATTACTTTTAAAAATGTTGCCGAAATGACGTTACCGAAATGACGAAATCTTACATTTCGTAATTTAGCTCCCTCTAGGAGTAACTTAGATTATTAAAATTTTTGAGGTTATTAAACATGTTCTATTTTTTAAAAAGAAAAATACATTATATTGCTTATCTGAGGCAAAAACTTCGATGAAAAAGTAGTTACCGAAATGGTCGATAATAAGTATACGCCGAAAAAATCAGTCATTCATTAATTCATTAAAAAAAAACTTTCCATATTACATAAAAACCACTGCCACTAACTCATACATACGCTACGCGCGAACATGGAACTCGAAAGAAATAAACAACAAGTTAAGTCGGTATTGTCGATTTCTTCGCATAAAAGTTGTGTTACCGAAATGATGCGAGAGGTCTGGGACATAACTTTCTAATCTACAATATTTTTATTGGTAAGAACTAATTTTTTTTATATATTTAACTAAAAAGTTAAATATTTATTTTCTATAAAAATGACTCTAAAAGGTATATACGTCAAAAAGTGTTACATATATTTGGGTTTAAACTACAAACTGTGACTGTAGGACAGTTACCGAAGTGACAATTTCAAGGTTTGACGATAAATAAAAAATATTTGTAACACTTTTGCAGCCAAACCAAAAAAAATGCTTCTCGAAACAACTCCGTTCTTTTCAATACTTTTGGATTTACAAAAATATCTAAAACAGAATTCGAAATAAAATAAAAAACCGCATATTGTACATTTATATGAACAATACCCGTATGATTGAAGACAAGGTGTCTTAGAGTTTCTTAATCCGCTATTCTTGGTATATTCTCCTTTCAGTATTGGCAACCAAACCCCGCTACATTCTGCTGATAGGTTTTCTACACATTTTTCTTCATTGGGTAGGATAAGCGCGGCTTCTTTTATTTTTCTCTTTTTCATGTATGTTTCTTTTACGATTATTGATGCATTTATCCATTATACTCTGTGTTCATTGTCGCAGAGATCAACAAAATACATAACTTGTTGAGATAGGAATTGATCAGTGTTTGTTTGGAAACACAAAATCATCATCATCACTGGCTCGACAACCCTTTCTGGGTCTTGGCCTGTTCAAGGATTCTTCTCCATTCTGACCTGTTTCGTGCTTTTTTTTTCAGTTTTTAATTTTTAATGTTGTTATATCATTTTCTATTTGTTCTACGTATCTCAGCTTCGGTCTTCCTCTTGTTCTTTTTCCTACTGGCACTTGTTTGAATATTTTGTTTGGTATTTCGCCTTCTTCCATTCTTTCCACATGTCCAATCCAACGTAGCCTTCCTATTTTAATGAATGTTATGATATCCGGATCCTGGTATATGTTGTATAGTTCAAAGTTATACCTTCTCCGCCAAAAACACAAAATCAGTTAAGTGATTACAATTGCTTCCAAGGCTAACCTGACCAAAGATGGGTTTCAATTGAACAAACCTCATAGTTAAATGTGCGATTAATGAACATTTGTGAAGCCGACCAATAACAATTCTGTATTAATTTAATGTGTAGTCAAACTATAACGTTAACACTTACCTAATTAGAGCACTATTTTGTAAAAGTTCCCTGCTTAAATTTAATGGAATATCTTCCGAGTCTACAACGCCTTTTACGAACCTTAACCATTTGGGCAAAATATTATCAGTCCTGTTCTTAATAAGAATTTTCTTGGTATATAGTGCGATTCCTGATTCAGTTTCTCTCGACATTTCAAATAAACCTTAAAGAATGATAGTTTGAATTATTACTTTAATTTCATTCAAGATATTCGATTGAAAATTGTAGTATACTTATAGTAAAATAAACATAGTTGTCACTCTAGTTCAATGTATCTGTAAAATGAAAGCGCTCAATTAGTGGATAAATTTTCGGATAATGGTTCGCTAGGTCATGAAAAAACCTCTTAGATCACTATACAAAATATTGAACGGACCTCGGTGTTAATTTTTATGGTTCACTGTGCTTCGTCAAGTAGTTTGAGAGTGGGAGTAAAAGAGACGGGAGAGAGAGAGACAAAGTGCTAGCAAAACGAAGGGAAAACTTAAGTTATGGCAATTGCGAACACGTGTTTTAAATAATAATATATTTATATTATATGAATAAAAAAAAACAGAAATTATACTTGAGTGCAAAACAATCGAGTCAAAAGCGATATTTGAGATTACACCTTCTGTTTCAATGTTAGAAGTATAAAAATAAAAAGATGTAATGTGCAAACAATAACTTTATTATTGAACTTACAAAAATTACTATTGCGTTATTTGGAAACGTATTATAAAAACAATATGCAATACGAACAGAGTTTCCTAAATATTCATCATTGGAACTAACGCAAGAAAGATTACCACCCCTACTCCTAATTACACTTTTCAATCGATTTCACATGGATCGAATGACTTTTCTAATAGATTCTAGAAACATTGCTTCCCATTCATCATTAAGCGCAGCTCTCAATTCCATTATGCTCCTTGGTGTATGATTTCTGTCCGGACCCTTTGTTTAAGCTCAACGCAAACCTGCTCTATAGGATTTACGTCCGGGCTTAACACAGGCCAATTTATTGTAGGTACGCCGATCTGTCAGATAGGTGGTGGTGACTCGTGCGGTATGGCATCGTGCATTACCGTGCAATAAAGGCATCACCAATAAATCCTGCATATAAAAATATATGTTCCTCCAAAATCTCTCTGACAACGATATTTATAAAAAGAAAATACAGTTAAAAAAAAATCCACAAGGAAAAATTCCTGTAGCTGGCTGTATACCACATATAACAAAAAGAGGTTAATCTTTGTAAATGGGTATATTTATTTAAAAAAACCCTTAAAAGGGCCACATCAATAAAACAAACGTTTTCGGACCACACAGTCCATCATCAGGTTATTAAAATCGAAAATGCTAGGTCACAATGCCTGAGCCACCAAAATATTAGGGTAAAAACCCTTTAAAAATACAGTTAGTATTTAACAGATCATTTTTCAATGTTGACAATGGAAAAAGACTCTATGACAGTGAATATTAAGTAGTAGGCAAATATATTCAGTCACAGTAACAAAGTAAATTAAATAACAGGGATAACTAGAATACAAAGGAATTTAAATAACAGAATAAAGGAAACGCATACTACAATAGTATGGTCTCAAAATTGTAGGCACTAAATTCCAAGAAATTGTAATGGCGATTCAGCGTTATGTGGTCTTCCAGCGACGGACAGTGACAAAAAAATTAAGTGTTAGAGGAAACGCAACTTATATTAATATTTTTACAAATTATAATGTACTACTATTCTCTTTATAACGCTAAGAAAATTCTAAATAAAAAATGTGAAATAGGCCATAGGAATAGTAGTCTTACAGAAAGAGAAGATATTATTTTGTGGCAGAGACACAAAGTGTTAATTAAACAAAATCAAGACTATCTTCGTGAAGCAAGCAAAATCTTTTATTTATACCAAAATAGGCTGAATCAAGCTGTCTCAAAGGTGGTGTAAGATTTTAAAGTTAGAAACCATCGACAAGCCTTTATTGAAGGGTTGTCACCTGGTTTAAAAACAACAGCAGCACAGGAAGGAGACTCATTTTAAAACACATGGGCAGTGATTCAGGTTTTCTGGATATAGGCTTGTTACTGAGAAGAAAGAAGACTTGAAATTTTTTTAAAAAAACTAAACTATTTTATGAGGAATTAATTCAGTAAATTAATTACAATAGCCCATAGTAAAGCTTTATATAATCAAAACTGTTCCTTCTTATAATAATTAAATGTTAATTTCAAAATAATTAATAAGTTTTCCTTAGTATTTTAAGTCCCCAGTTAAACCTATTATTGTTTCTTAACTCTGTATATATCTCGTTTTTTGATATAAAGCTATATGGCACTTAGCCCAATATTTAGCAAAAATTGTACTGCTCTTAGCCCGTTCCAAAAATTACATTCTTTCAAATTTTACTAAAAAAATATAGCAATAATATTAATATTTTTTATGCATACAATTTATCAGGCTAACAATTACAACCTATTTTTGTATTTTAAAGCTATTTAAGTAAGGGAAAGTTAATTTACATGATTTTTTTAGTTTCCGCAAAACTAACATTTTGGCACTGAGCCCAGTTTTTACTTATGTACTACAATTTTTTTAAAACTTACCAGGCTTTCCTTCAGGAAAATATAACAAAGCTCTAATAGAAAGAGGTACATCAGTCTTGTAATGTAAAGTATATCTAGGTACGTCATAACTGCCACTTATATATCTATAGAACTCGTTATGCTGTTGTGCTGTAACATTTTTAGCATCTGATAACCACAATGGTTGTACAATGTTTGTTTTTTTGCCATTAAGGTACAACGGACTACCAACGAAGTTACTGTACTTATTGACTACATTCTTAATAGTATCGTCATCTGCAAATTCTCTACAATCTGCTTTCAAATGAATTACAATTTTGGTTCCATATTGAACACCCTCTGCAGGCTGTATTTCATACGTACCGCTTCTAAAATTAAAAGGAAAACAAACATAACATATGATACTAAAGTATGTTCCTTTGCCCTTAAAGGCTTACTTAAATAGATGTTCCTTAGCATGAGCAGCATTCAGAAAATTACAAACAGCATTTAAATCAAACTTACCAAATACTTTAAAGGCAAAAACTTTTGATCAGTGTGTGGTGCCAGTACTGACATATAGAACTGACATATGAGAACATGGACCTATAAGAAACAACATAGTTCACAAACTCCAAGTGACTCAGGAAGCTATGGAACAGAGAATGTTCAACATTAACCTCACTGACTGAAAGTCCAATGAAAAATAAGAAGATTAACAAAAATTACAGATGTAATCCAAAATATTGCTGTGTTAAAATGGAAATGGACAGGACACATAGGAAAAATGGAAGACAACTGATGGCGACCAAGAGCAAACAAGACAAGTAGAGGCAGACCTCAAACAAGATGGACTCATGACATCAAGTGAATGGCTGGTAACAAATGTATGCAAAATACACCAAACAGAAATGAATGGGCACCCCTAAGGAAGGCTTACATATGGCTATGGATGGAATACCTGCTGATGATGAAAACAAAATATATAATTAAGCCCTAAAAAGAATTCGATACATCATAAAAATTTTGTTAATTTCATGTTTATAATTTACAAAAATTTAAATAAAAGAATTTTGGTAAAATAGCATTTTTTTGCAAAATAACTGCTTGTTCCAACATATAGTTGTTAGAGCTTGTAGTGCTAGTGATGAATGTATATTGAAAATATTGGAAAGAAATCAGTTGGGAAAACTATAATGTGATCTGATGAAAAAAACTAATCTAATAGGGCATACATATATGCAAATATTCTATTTTCACAAAAACTATTTTGTTATTTTGTCACATACCCATCAGAGGACCATTTATATCCAGTATCTTCTCCAACAGCTCTTGAATAAACATCTACTTTATCAGCTACCATAAAAGAGCTGTAGAAACCAACGCCAAATTGTCCTATAATATTATTATCACCTGCAGCAGCTTTTTCTTTGATTTGTTCAATAAATGCCTAAAATTAACTAGCATTTTACATACAACTCAAACTAAACTTAAAATTAAATTATTTGTAATAAATTTCAAAAAAAATTTCAGCATATTCTGATACATGACTGATAACCATTAGAATGATTATAATAATGGCACAAGAATTGAATTACCTTAGATCCTGACTTAGCTATTATACCCAAATTTGATATAAGGTCCTCCTTTGTCATTCCAATACCTGTATCCTAAAAAAACAGATAATAAATGTCTGCGAAACACTTATAAAGTGGAAACTCGATTATTCGTCTCTCTAATAACTGTCACCTCTGTTAACCATCAGTGTCCATACATAAGTTATATTGACAACATACATAAAAACTTAGTCTTAATTCATTTTTTTGGAGCATCGGCATAAGCCAAAGAAATTCGTTGAAATGTACATGTAAAGTTATGCCACCACCGCATCTTTTTATGTAAATAATTAGCAAAATAAGCAAAAAATTTGCCACCAAAGACGATTCTCATTTTGGACAATACACCTACCCATCCTGAAGCCAGTATGCTGCGGAGTGACGATAAAAATATCATGTACTCTTTTCTGCCTGCAAATACAACATTATTGATACAGACAATGGATCATTTGATCATTAAAACATTCAAAAGAAGATACAGAAAAAAATTTATTCAAAACCCAGTTGTGGAAGAGGACTATTCTTTGCCAGAATACAGGAAAGCATACAATTTAAAACACGCAGTCAACAATGCTGTGGATGCTTGGGTTTCTGTGGATGCCGATATTTCAGAAGTAACGCTGAAAAGAGTATGGAATAAATTATGACCTGAATCAACTTAAGATGAAAATGCCCCCCATAAATGAAGTTATGAAGTTTACCTAAAGATGACGTAAACGAATGGTTAAGCTATCGATTGCTGATAGATGATGAAATTGTTGAAATGACAACAGAGGCAGACGGAACTAATTCAGAAGCTGACACAGACTTTGATGGTGGCGATGTTGATGATACTATTGCAACTCACAAGGATTTGCGTAAAGAAGCTGCATTGCACATACAACAATTCTTCAAGTGGTACTCTTGGCAAGAAGAACCAAATAAGGTAGATTTGATGATTTTACGTCGATTAAAAAATTCAGCCATTGCAAAATGTGAAGTAACAATAAAACAAACAAAGATTTCGGAATATTTTAAATCAAATTGATTCGACTGTACTAACATAAATCCCTCTTATATTGTCAAATAAAACATACAAATAAAATTTGAGAGTTATACTTTGAATTTTTTTTAATGTTCTGGTAACTGTCTTTTCGATTATCCGCCATACCCTTGGTCCAGTGCCCTGACAGATAATCGAGGTTCCACTGTACTTTATTTTTTACCTGTATGGTAATTGTTCGATTTTGTTTATCTGTTGATATATGTATTTCTAAGGGTCGATCAACATCTTGAATTTTTTTGGCAGCCTCTTCTCCTGAAACTGCTAAGTATCTGAACTTCTCCAAGGCATCACTAGCATTAGATATTAGTTCTCTTATAAATACCTCCTTTTCTGAATATAACGATCTGGCCACTATGTCCAAGAGCATTTTGGTTTCAGCCTTAAATTCATATTTTGTACTTTCACCTAGAAAATATGGTTTAGAAACTCTTGTAAGTTATTTACTGATATATACTAATAGAATGTACCTGTTGGTTTCTCCGTGTCTTTAATAATTGAATGATGTTCGTCTTCATTAGGCGATGTTTGTGTACTTAAAAGTCTTATAAGGTTCCGGTTACCTGCAAAATTAGTTCTTTTTTAATTTACAGACTTAACATAACCTTATACTTATCTTACCCAAAGATGAACTCCTTCCAGAGTTAATGTTTGTAACATTAAGATTTCTTGTTACTAGCCTTAAATGTCGAAAAGCAAGTAATCGGCTGAATCTACTTAGAGACATTTTTTCAAAAAAATATTTTTAAATTATTTTATTTTTTGGTTGGATTGATCTTCTTGACCAATTCTTGACACTTGTGCCGTTAACTAGCAACTAGCTTCACGTGTTTAATCGTTTTTCTTCTTTCATTCATTTGCTTGGCCTTAACTACCAGGGCTATCCGGCCAGGGTCTGTGTATTTATACCAGAGATATTGATTTATACTGAATGTTCAAGAGCCGTACCTAAGGTACATCTGGGCTTAAGCTCATAGCTCCTGAACCTGCAACAATAATTAAAGGCGAAAAAAAAAAAACAAATTAAAGTCAAATGTTCAAAAGTTCTTTCACATAAGTTCTATTGCTCTAGTCCTATACAACTGCACGAAACCGCACTAAGCACATGCAATTCAAGCAAGCAGAATAAATCTTATAATGTACTTAACGAACTAGTCTTGAGTCCTCGTTGACGCTAAAAACTTTTGCACTGCAAGGAGTTTAAGTTTTTGAACAACACATCAATGAGTATTGGATCACCTTAAATTCACTTCTAAAGTAACTAGGACTCCCTTTGATATCTATTAAATTCCAACAACACATATTGTAATGTGCCTAAACTGCCACATGGATACAGATTTGTATTGCTCACTTTCAATCTAAATAAATGAACCGGAACGCTGTAATGTCCACTTCTCATACGACACAATTGTGCAATTATGCCTTTCCCCAGGTTTTTTCCAACTGATCCATAAGTTTTTCTTATATTTAGTTTGAAAATATTTAAAGGAAGCCTTTGGTTCTTCAGTAACAGGTAGGTTTCTTCCAAGTTCAACAAGATAATCAGCTCTATCATTCCCCTCCATTCCGGTGTGACTTAGAATCCATGCGAATTTAATATCCTTATTTTGTTCGTGGAGTTGACTAAGTTTTTGTTATAATTGAAGAGTTTGTGTGTCTTGGTTTTGTAATTTTCTCCAAAACACTTTTTGAATCACTACAAATAAGGCTTTTTTTCAAAATCATTCTGTTGAATTAAATCTAATGCCTTTTTTATCGCAAATAATTCTGCTAAACAAATTGAATTAGCAGATAGTAATCTTGCTGTTAATTCGGTGCTTTCATTAAGGTATATACCAATGCCCACATTACCTTGTTCATCTTTGGATCCATCTGTGAAGATAAGTTTATATTCAGACCAGTTATCAAGGTACCATGACACACACTTGGCTTGGTTACTTTCTCTAGGTTGAGAGTTTTATAAACTGTAGGAGAAATCTGAGAATTAAGCGGGAAGGAGTGACAAGAAAATAAGGAGTTATGTGGCACCTCATGAATCTCATGAAGCGTATTCTAAAAGGCAACCAGTATTGGTGGCAAATATTTTCTTTTCCAAAAACTAAAGTAATTCAGAAATGCTTTATGAAATTGCTTTATTGAACAATATATTGGGTTGTCATATGCTACCACCTTTAATATAAATTTAGATGCAAGCCAAATCCTTCTAAGATCTAACGGTTTCCCCACATTCCGACAAAATAATATGAACTGGAGAGGACCTCATAAATCCTCCAACCACTCTGAGAGCTCTATATTGAACTTTATCCAGTTTTGTAAGTAAGGAACGGGCACAACCTCCAAGAAAAATCCATCCATAATCAAGGTGTGGTCTAATATAGGCCTTATATAAAATGAGTAAAGTAGGATGTGCTCCTCACCATATTCGACACAGACACAGAATTATATTGACTCCACTGGATGCCCTCAACGTCATTTTTTCGATTTGGCTTTTCCAAGAAAGGGAACTATCTAAAATAACTCCTAGATGAGAAATTTCCTATATTTAATCGAGCAAGATGTTATGTACTAATATTTGAGTTTTCGGAGTGTTATTTCTAATTCTATCAAAAAAAAATCGCTTGACTTTTGCTAGATGACAAACACATTCCCATGCCAAGAAGTTTTACAGATATATTCTCTACTGTGTCATTTAAATTTTCCACCACTTCCAACCAGCACAAGATGTGATTATGTTAATGACGATGTTGAATAATACTGGACTCAAAGGAGAACCTTGATGTAGACCTACATTAGCTGTTTTGGCCCAATAGATTAAAGGAAATAGGATCTCGGACGAACACCGAACGATTTGTCAATATATGTTTAATCCACTCAATGAGTAACAATGGCAAATTGAGATCTCCCAGAGCATCTAATAATTAGGATATTTTATCTTATTGTTGTATATTTATATAGTTCTAATTTATTTGTCTTTATTCTAATTTATTGTCTATATTCTAATTTATTAAAAACTCACGATAACTAATTACGAATTTATTAAAGTCTTTATTAATCCTAATTTATAATACAAATAATAATTTATTTACGTTTCGTTACAAGTAAACCGCGTTCCCCGATCTTCTTATGACTAAGTTCTTCAATAAAATTTCGTCTTTATATATAAAGAAGCTGCCGCTATCTGGAAAGTTCGGTGACCTACTTTTGCAAAGAACACCATGGAATATACTGGTCTTTTCGGTGAAGGCAATTAACCGCTGAGACTAGTTCTTTTTCAACTTCGAGTCGTGGATGACTCACTAAAATTAGGGTCTAGATATTTCTGTAAACAACTGGTATCGAAGCTCAGGTAGAATCAATAAAAAAAGGATTAGTCATAAAATATTTACAGTTCTATATGCCATAACATTTAAAATCGTAACATTGCCCTCCTCTTAAAAGATGGTTCCTCCTGGAACCTTGTCGGGACTGGAACTGGAACGACATGCTGATATCGGCAACTGGACCCTCTTTTACAACTTCCAGTTGTATAGAAATGACAAGGGACGGTTTTCTCTCCGCACCAGTAACTATGCGGATTGCAACAGACTAACACCTGGACTTCGGTGTCTTTAAAGATTTCCTCCACCATATTTCGTATAACCCTCCAATCTAATTGGCGGCACTCCAACTTTGGCATGGCTAACTTTTGCACGTCGGACTCTAGTACGTGCTCTCTCAACTGAAGTAAGGCTTCCCATACATCTCGGTAGGTAGGTTGGTCACGGGCAGTGTCTTTTGTTACCAGGTAGAAAAGGTAACGTGATGCATCTTGAAGTTTCAAGGTTTTACCAGGAGCTGGCACTTGGCATTGAAGTTCTGCAACTCGACCAAACTTCCTTCGAAAGACGGATGCCAACCCTGGTGCATCTTTGATACTGGCCGGGATGGTAAGGGCCAGTGAAAGTCATCGGGAAGCGCGAGTAGATCTTGCCTTTCTTCAGTGGTAACACCATGTCTTGCTTTACCGGTACCTCCATAGGCACCCATGAATTCCTCAAACGTGAGGTCAGACACATCTTGGACTTGGTTTACTTCCACTTCTTCATCTACGTCGTGGTCACCCTCGAAAGACGCCAACCGGTTATGGTGTACTATCATCGGCTTTCCTCTCGGAATCTTGCTTATTCGGTAAATAACATCATTGATCTTCTCCATAATGAGGTATGGACCTTCCCAAAACTGCTGCAATTTGGGAGAACAACCTTTTCGCTTTTTGGGGTTATAAAGCCAGACTTTATCGTTCTTCTTAAAACACCCATTTTCGGCTTGTGTATCGTACCGTTTCTTCATTCGGTCACTAGCGATTTGGAGATGGGAACGGACCAACTCGTGTACATCGTCCATTCTTCTTCGTAATTCGATCACATAATCTTCACCTGCTACATCTTCTCCAGGTCGACACCCAAACTCTAGATCACAAGGTAGTCGCATCTCGCGTCCGAATAGGACTCTGGCTGATGTCTGGCCTGTTGATTCATTAACAGCAGATCTGTAGGCCATTGTGAAGAACGGAAGATATTGGTCCCAGTCTCGCTGATGATCGGACACCATCTTTGTCAAATACTTGCCAACTGTTCTATTCATTCGTTCTACCATACCATCCGATTGCGGATGATAAGCCGTAGTTCTTGTTTTCTTCATACCTAGTCTATCACATATTCCTTGGAATAAATCGCTTTCGAAGTTCCTGCCTTGGTCACTATGGATCTCCAAAGGCACTCCAAATCGGCTGATATATTCTTGGATCAACTTATCTGCAACGGTGGCGGCCTTCTGGTCTGGAAGTGCGTAAATCTCGACCCACTTAGTGAAGTAATCCATTACTACCAACATGTACTTGCCTCCATTATCACTTTCTGGAAATGGCCCAGCAATGTCCAAAGCTATTCTTTCAAACGGGCTTCCAACATTATATTGTCTCATAGGAGCTCTCCTTTTTCGATAAGGCCCGTTACTCGTAGCACAAATAGTACATTTCTTACACCAGTCTTTTACATCGTCGGAACTGTTCATCCAATAAAACCGTTCCCGAATTCGCTGAAGGGTCTTTTTCACACCAAAATGCCCTCCTGATGGACTGTCGTGTAACTGACGAAGTACTTCGGCTATTCTGCTCTTTGGAATCACCAACTGTCTTCTCTTCTCTGAACCGTCATCATTTTCCAGGACTCGTTTGAGCAAGCCATCTTCCATGATAAATGAGTCCCACTGGGCCCAATACGTCTTAACTATTGAGCCTAGGTTCGATATTTCTTGCCAAGGTGGTCGACGGTTTTCCTCTTTCCATTTTCGGATTTTCTGTATAACTGGATCTCTCTCTTGTTCTTCCCTGATCTTGGTAGGCGTCCAGTCGTCGTGGACCACCGTCGTTCTTAGCACTGCTGCTTCCTTGGATTCCGTTTTGTTGCAGTGAGAACACTCTGCTGGGCATGGCCTTCTGGAAAGAGAATCGGCGTTTCGGTGGCTAACTCCGGCCCGGTGCTCAATCTTAAAATCATATTCTTGGAGTCGTTCGATCCACCTGGCTATCTGACCCTCTGGATTCTTAAACTGCATCAACCACTTAAGGGCGGCATGGTCGGTTCGGATTAAAAACTTCCTTCCATAGAGGTATTGATAGAAGTGCTCTACTGATTTCACTACTGCCAGAAGTTCTCTTCTCGTGACGCAATAATTTCGCTCAGGTTTTGAGAGAATTTTACTAAAATATCCAAGGACTCTTTCCTGTCCTCCTTGAATCTGAGACAGCACTCCTCCAATTCCCA